TCCTTTGACTACGATGACCTGGATGACTGAGAACCTTCACAGACAATTCCATGAAACCTTTTGCTATTGAGGTTATAAAGTAGGTACTTGTTCACTGCGCACCTGAAGAAGATTCTGGAGCTATCAGTTTATCTTTTCTTACCATTTTACCAGACACACCATTCTGTGAATGTTTTTCCAATTTACGCCAAAGTCTTCAGACAGCCACAGCTCATACTGAGAAAGGAAACCACAAAGAATCAGTCAGTATGTATCTGCAACAGCCCCACATTAACATGGGGCAGAACAGAATTCTATAAACCAGTTCACTGACTCAAAAGCCATGCTTATAAATGCACTGTGTGCAAATGTACAAAACAATGAAGACTGCTTGACCTTCATTGAATTATTTGATGTAGTATATGCATGCAGAGGCACTACTTGAGCTTTCAACTTGACAGAAACAGTCCACTTTGAATCCTAACTGGTTCCTTTTCACACAAAATACAGGTCTTTAGTATTCACTCCTTACGTCGTTGCTGAGGACAACCAGCACACTGGAATCCTCAGGGTTGTACGTGATCTGCGTCAAGGGGTTGAAAGGCAAGTTCCGGTCGGTGAAGCTCTTTCCAAAGTCCTCAGAGACAAAAATGCGGGTCTTGAGGTCTCCAGACACTTCAGCTGTCAGAATCAACTAAAAGCCAGAGTTCAACAGGTTCTTAACTGCAGGAACAGTGGTTAGTTCACGTCTAAAAATACTCTTGATGAGTACATGAAGTACATGTGGTGAGGACTTGATCAAGATAAGGCTTACTTTGCCTGAGTTATTGGGGCTGATTGCAATGCCGAACTCTGATCTTATGAAGGTGTTGTTGATGAGGTCTGTTACATCCTGAAATGCCTTGCCGTAGTCCTCGCTGGCAGAAAAATTGTTTCAGTCAAATTAAATGCAAATAAAATGTAAGCCATGTGCATTTTTCCAGATTAAAAGGTAAATTCCATTACCTTCGATAGAGTTTCGACTGTCCAAGTTTTACCATGAAGAACGGGACCTGAAATGTCGTCAAGGCCAGAATAACCTGCCAAGAAGGAAGGTTTAGCTTGAGGAAAGTGGAGCATGCACCATTTATTAAAGTGCACAAGACCCTTAGGTGTGTCATCTGCATTCAGTCTACAAAGCCAAGTTTGCAAAAACCACACCACATAACTAACGTAAAACATGTTAGGTGCACATGGTGATAAATATACTCACCCCTGTGCCATCTCCAACCCAAGCCAGCGACACCGAGCCACTCAGGTCATGGAATTCAAACTGAGACAAACAGCCAAAACATGTTCATAAATATGTAAAACATAGAAAAGGCAATAACAGCAGTGTGAACTGTGTGAAACAGAACAACTATTTCAGCTGAGCTCACAAAAAGGGACAAACTGACATTGCAATTATAAACTGCAGCCACAGCCTATTTGAGTTTTTGCTTTAAATGTATTTTTGCTTTGACTGGCAGCATGTTTCGCCTCACCGTGTGTTCTGGCATAGACAGTTTAGTGTACAAAGTGTCTGTTCTGTTAGCAGACCTAAAGCTTCGAGCAGTTACTTGAAAGACTTCCGAACGCAGCTACAAAATACCACAAGACAAGTAATTTAATTTTGGGGGAAATTAAACCTTAGCTGAATTTAGCTGTAGGGCTAGGGCAAAAATTAAACAAAGAAAACTTGCTTTAATTGTCAGAGTCAGTTACGAAAGCTTTAAATCTTAAGTTCTATCAAGTGTCCTATTATTCATCAACTGCATGGATGGTCACAATGAGCATTTTTCAGCATAATTAGCTTCAGTACTGGTTGAACCTGCAGCACTATCCTCAGGGCAAGGAGGCGGCTGAGCCACTGGGAATTCTATCAACTCCAGATTACTGGGGACAAGTATACAAAGACTGCAATGCAAAGTTGGTCACATGGGCAGTGAGGAGCTAGGGAAATAAGCAGCACAGGACTCTCGTTTGCTTTGTGGAAAGAATTGCATAGTTGTGTAGATCAGATGTTTTATCTTCCTGGATAGAGTATATGCTATAAACAAAGAAGAAGAAGAAGAAGCAGAAAAAGACACAATCTCTGAAGCTTAAACTTTGCTTTAGATACCACACAAACACAGCTTTAATTACAAAATAACTGCTGCACAGCAAGTCACATGGATTCCCACTGGGCCAATTTTCCTGGAAACATTAAGGCATATTCACTGAGTGAAGGCATAGGAAAGATTGGATAGTTTAATACCAGAATACAGTTCCATGCTTAAAATGACAAATAACATACAGGTCACAGCCTTTAGTGCAACGCTTGAAAAAGCATTAATGCCATTCTGTGCAACCAATGCAAGTCTAAAGCATGAGGAAGACTAAGTACAGTGTACCTCACTGCTGCAAATATTAAAGAAAAGAAATCATTGCAGCCTAGAGGTGTTAAGCAACAAGGCAATGTGATACCTTGCAAGACTGCCTGAGCCTGGGAAAAGTACTAGGTACATTGCAACACCCTTTATGGTAACACGTAAGGTGTTTTGTTTTGAATCTATGTTTATTGATACAAAAATCCTGGTTTATGTATTCTAGGCTACCGGACATGCAGGTAATAAGAGGACATGGGAGTCCACTGATGAGTATGGGTGCAATGAATAGCTTATTAGGCCTAGTCCCTGCACTTGCTTAGCACCTGCGTATCATCTTCTCGTTGTCAGACGTGTGAAGTGTAACAGGACCTCAGAGGGTAACTTACATTGTGGGTGTTGGCGTCCAACTTGGTGACATATCCTTGAAGAGCTTTACACGAGTCGTCCTCTTCGGTGCTTCTTCTTTTTATCTTGTGGTTTGGTGATGGAGCCAGCCATGCAGACCTCTTTACGATTTTCGCAGCTTTCCCTTCAGTGTTTGAACGCCTCACAAAACCTGACTGCCCGAAGGGCTTGAAGCCCAGCTGAAAATCTACACCTGCTGCGAAAGTGCAAGCCGATAACAGCAGGATGCCGCGGAGCAATAGTCCCATCTTCGTTCCTATTGCCACTGACAAAACAAAACAAAGGAGAGGGGTTTAAAAAAAAAAACAAAAAAAAAAACACGTCTTTGTTTTCTTGTCTAGAAACTGAAGGTCGCTACAGCTCTGCCACGGATGACATCAACAAAACAGTAGTCCTCCTGACAGCGACTATTTTGAGCTTTGGAAACACGGAGCGCCCTCGAAGCTCCAACTGTCTCACTCCGCGGTAGCGCAAATTAAATCAATTTTTAAAAAAATCGTAATCTTGCAAATCAGCCGGCGTGCTACCGCCAATTATCCACAGAGTAACTCCTCATCAACATGATACACTGTGACAAACATAGGAATTGTGTCTGCAGGTCGTAATGCTCTATGCAGAGTGACGCTGCGATTGGCCGGTCTTTAACTGTGGCCCACCTATCAGGCCTTCCAATTGGTTCAATTGTGAAAAGGCAGTGCCAAAAGAATGGAATGGAGTGGAGGAATGGTCTGGCATTTATATATGAGCCACATTTAACCATACATTTATTTATTCTACACCAGGGATGTCATGCTCATTTTCAAGTGGGCCAGACCAGTAAAATTGCTCTTTCTGTCTGTGTAAAGAAGTTTAACCACTTCCTCAGTTATCTTTACATATAATCATACAGTATGATACAATTTTCTTTAAATGAATCAAAGTCGATTTTTTTTTTTTTTTTATGGCCTCTCAAAGTACATTTAGCAATTCTGTTTCAATTCTGACTAATTTAGAATTCATTAGACTTGTGCATGTGATGCATAATAATCCCATGACTACTGGTCATGTGTTCAAAATAACTTAAAATAATCCTTAACCCAAATTCAAAACAATCCTTCGCTGTCTGGATATGCAAAACCCCAACCCAATACCTGTGATCACATTTGAACTCTGGGTTTTAGTTTTTTCAGCAAATCTGTTGTGAAGGAGTAAAATAATATTTTGTCATATAAATGAAGGTGGGTAGACTAGATCAGAAGTCATGCTACTTGAGTGTTGTGGCTCAAGCCAGTCCAGCAACTCTGCCAGCAGCAAAAACATTGACATAGCATGGCTGCCAAAAATAAAAAAAAAAACCTGTTGAACAAGTTTCAGTGGCATAAAACTCCCTGAAAACTTGAGTTTGAATCTAGAATTTAGCTACTCCTAAATGTTTCTTGGGTCATCAATGATATCCTATTAGTTTTGTTTAATGAAAGTATGTTTCTTTATTCAGATACATTCAGGAAACCCAACAATCACAACTGTGAAGCAGGATTCCTTCACAAAGAGGACTTACAATGGACCTGAACTCCCTCCCACTGCATAGTCAGCTAATAAAAGGTAGGGAACAAAGGCAGTTTTATTCATTCGAGATGTGACTTCCAAAAACGCGACCAGAGCTTTTCTAAAAGAACCAGACTCTTCCAGTCCTGCTGTACAGTGTGCTGAGGAAAATTAGTCATATTAATAGATGGCACAGTGTACCTTAATTTGTCTGAGCACCCATCCCATAAACAGGCGTTGCCATTCACTGAGACTGTGGGAAAGGAGAGCCTCTGTGTAAATAAGTTTGACCCACATTGACGAGAGTTACGTTAATCACATGACATGAGTTTAATAATGCCCATCTAACATCTGCAGAAATCTCAATATCTATCAATCACTCTTACTGTGCAGTCACTTAACATTTGGCTGTTTGCTATGATATCAGGTATTGTTAAAAAAAAAAAATCCTCCTCACCTTGTACTGTCATTAAAACAAATTAAATTGTTTAGTGGAGCCTATCAGCCATAATTAGTGCCTGAACAATTGTTTGAAAGAAAAGTTCCACTTTTAAGAAGCTCTGACATATAAGCATGAAATACCACACCCAGATTAATTTTGGCTCTGCAATTCATTAATATATAAAAGAAGGTAGGATCTAATAGGGGATCACACCTGATCCCCGTGCATGCCTATTTACAGTGCTTGATACAATGTTTAGACCAGGTCACGGCTCACGGGCCACATCCAATTATATCTGGCCTGCGAGATAAGCTTGATGCAGAAATGTCTGCATGTAGCACATGTATTGTCATGGTCCGCGGCCCGGTGTCCGAGGAGCTGATGGGATTCCCATGCCCACGGGTGTGGCTGTCGACTCTACACCTGCATCCCATTCCAGGCGATCATCAGGTGGACTATTTAACCCCGCTCAGCCAGCTGCTCCACGCCAGTCTGTTAGTCACCTTTCAGCAGTAACTTGGCCCCCAGGTGAAGGTGGTTGTGAAACTCTGATTGCTCTGAACAACGCTAATCCTTTCATTGTGTGCTCAGGTAACCGTTCGGCGTGTTTTGAGCCTCCTCCTGTCTGTCCTCCTGCCCGCCTTGAGTTCGGATCACCACCGGTCATCATCTCCTCTGTTTCCCTGCAGCTCTCCCGCGGACCCTCACCCCTCCCTCCGGTTCCCACGGCCCAGCCCTGATCGTAAGATTAATAACTCTACCCCGCGTATGCTGTTATTCCCCCGCTCCCCAGTAACACTCTTCCTCTTTCTGTTGCAGCCTCCCACGGTCCTGATTACGGCGTTCCCGAGTTGCTTATCTCCCGGTCCCTTTGTTTCCCATTTACTCGGCGTGTTTTCCTTTGACCCTTCAGGGACACCCTTAGTTAGTGTTGCGGCTCCTCCAACCTATGGCCGCGGCAGGCTAAACATGAGGACACAGATGACGCGCAACAATGAACACATAAAATACACTTCTGTACCTTTTGCTCCTTTTATTCCACATGCAACTGTTCCATATACAAATCAGTGCCTGGGATTAACGATTAAACAAATGCACAGACCACAAACAAATAACTGCAACTCATCAACAACTGCACTAACTACTATGCCAAATTACAACTTGGTCCATGGCATCAAATTAGTGCACAAATACAAAACCATCAAGTTCCAGTTAAAATACATCAAAATAATTCAAGTTGCGGTCAACAGAAAGTTCTGCCTCATGCTCACCCTACCTTCCTGCTCATCAACATCAGGTGCTGTGAACAAGTGAGTGCAACCACATTTATTATCTACCACACCCATGAGACACGCCCCACACCCGTGCACCAATACAGTGAGTCCATTTAAACCAACCCACATAATCAAAAAAGGAACAACTCATATGGCTCCTACAGTTAGAAATAAAGTTTATTTTGCGTGCACCTTGGCGTATTGTCTCTTCTTCTGGGTCCAGCTTGTGTGCTGAATTACGGTTCTTGACATGTATGGTTTATCCACAGCTGCCCTAAATTACCAGTATTGGTAATAACCTCCTTGAATCGCTACCTTATTGTGGTGGACAGGTTTGTGTGTCCCAGGAGCTATGTTGTCGGGGGGCTTTTGCCCCCTGGTAGGGTCTCCCATGGCAAATTGGTCCTGGGTGAGGGACCAGACAAAGAGCCATTCAAAAACCCTTATGAGTAGAAGATCAAGGGAACAGTTCACTGTGCCTTTGGTTTGGGGAACAAGTTGGTGGACTCTGTCATCTTACTGGGACACTTCAACGTTCACGTGGGCAACGACAGTTTGACCTGGAGGGGTGTGATTGGGAGGAACGGCCTGCCAGATCTGAACCAGATGAGTGTTCCATTACTGGACTTCTGTGCAAACCACAGTTTATCAATAGCGAACACCACGTTTGAACATAAGTGTGGTGAGGCGTGGCCCGTGGTGCCATGCGGACGCACCTGCGCGGCATCTGCAGATCACGCAGATGCTGTTAAAACACGGGGACTCAGGGGTTGGTGTTGTTGTGGTGTGACGCATGTCAATAAAGATGGCTCAAAACTATGATCCTTGGACCCGTCGTGTCTCATTCACACCACAATAAGTTTTTCCATAAGTGCACGTAACACCAGGACACCCTAGTTTGCAGGTCGATGATTGATTTTGTATTCATATCATCAGATCTGTGTCTGTATGTTCTGGACACTCAAGTGAAGAGAGCAAGTAGTTGCTGAAGCAAATACTATGGGAGTGTGGGCGTTCAGAGAGGCCTTGGAAAAAGACTTTTGGACTGCCTCAAAGACATTCTGGCAAACCGTCAGGCCATTCAGGAGGGGAAAGGGGTGCTGCACCTGCACTGTGTAAAGTACCGGTGGAGCGCTGCTGACTTCAACTGAGGATATTGTCAGGCGGTGGAAGGAATACTTTGAGGACCTCCTCAACTGCACTGATAGGTCTCCCGTAGATGAAGCAGAGTCTGGACACAAGGGGAACAACTCGTCCATTACCAGGGGTGAGGTCACCGAGGCAATTAAACATCTCCTTGGTGACAGAGCTCCTGGGATGGATGAGGTCCGCCCTGAGTTCCTGAAGGCTCTGGATCTTGTAGGGCTGTCTTCGGACACACCTCTACACTGTTGCATGTAGATCAGGGGCAGTACCTCTGGATTGGCAGACGATGGTGGCGGTTCACATCTTCAAGAAGGGGGACTGTGTGGCTGATGCCATCACAAGGGGGATCACACTGCTAAGCCTCCCCAGCAAAGTCTATCCCAGGGTGCTGGAAAAGAGAGTCCATCTGTTAGTCGAACCTTGGATACAGGAGGAACAAGGAGTGTTCCAGGTCACGGGACACTGGACCAGCTCTTTACCCTATCAAGGATATTTGAGGGTGGATGGGAGTTTTGTGGGTTTGGAGAAGGCATTTGGGAATACTGGGAGTCTGGCCCATTGCTATGAGCCATTTTATCCTTATACACTCTGCCAGGGTACCTGAGAT